AATTTCTCAGCCAAATTTGATGTGTGATTAATTTGCGATTAATTAATCATTAGATTACAAATTTTGATCGCTTACCAGCACTAAATATAATATAATATACAATTATTAATTACAATAAACATGAAAAAATATTATTAAAAGCAATTGTTATTATATTTATTATTTCCATGAACCTACATAAGAAAAGCGGTTAGCAGAATGGATAAATTATTATTATTGTTAGTAGTATTAGTATATAATGATTTTTGAACATATTATTTAGGAATGAAACAACAAATGAAAAGAAAATTACCAAAGTGACACAATGCCAGGGAAAAGCCTGAAACAAGATAAAAAAGAAATGTTAACATATAAAGCACTCAAAGGCCATGAAGCTCTTAAAAATTAATTCTGTAAGATCAACAATCACGTACCAGCTAGAAAAATGAATTTGGTCATCATATTGTGATGGTTGTATCAGTCAAGAAACTCTGTCTGCTACTGCTGTATGCAAGACAGAAGTTATTGTTTATATAACCCCAACACACAGAACTCCCCATTCCCAATTACCGATGATTAACCAAAAACAAGAACACACAGGTATTTCCCTAAAATAGCAGTTCCCTGTCATCTGCCCTTGATGTTATCATACAATACATTTTTAAGAGATGGATCATTGCACTATAACAGTCTTTAGGTTTTGTACATTGTGATTGTAGGTGCGTTTGTTTCATTGTTCAAACTTTAATGACTCAGTTCAATGAATTAAGTGTCTAATTTGATGAGTCGTTTCAAAGACACAGGCCCTCTCAAAACATATTAAGTCTTACTTATGGAATAAAATTTATACCGATCCAAAATTACATCCACTGCAAAAAAATACGTTAATCAAAAAAGACTGTAAAATATCCTTAGATTTAAATTTTATCCATAGCAACTAGAGGAACATATTCATAGTGTACAATGCCATGTCCACAGAAAGTTAAAAGAACCTTTTCCATTTTTTCTGCAATGTTTTTCTTATACAGTGTA